TGTTGGCGCTATATAAATCCTGTATAATAATAATAATATCCTCATCATAACCTTTGATACTGTACCTTGCGACATGGCAAATAAATTGGCAACTTCAGTCACAAAGGCACCAGCTAAGCGGGCACCAGCAAATTGCCCTCTTGTAAGCTTAGTAAGCTCGGACATGACTCTGTATTACTAGCAGTGCACACAGTGAATGATGACAGTGAGGCTTCCCACCTGTTAGCCAAGTGTCTCATCACACAGCAGAAGCAAAAGAATCTTACATCACTTTTGCTTTCAATGCAAAACATGTCATAATTTTCACACCTGAAAATCAAGTAGTATTTCCATTTTTTTTTTTTGTTCAATCTCTCTCTCTCTCTCTATATATATATATATATATATATATATATATACACACACACTATGTGCTCACACAAGTAGCACTACCATGACAACACACTGTTATTGAAAGGCACACAGGACTAGGCTTTCAACATGACATAACACTTCCACATTATATATGTAGTAATTCTTTCTCAAGGGATGTAAAGGGGCGCTTTTGACTTATTAAACAGAGAGCTGTCTGCAGCTGTGGATTCCTTAGGGCTGTTGTAAATACTCGATATTTCCTGTGGCCATGCCACAGGGTATGTTAGACTACCACTTTCCAGTGACACAAGAGCTTCATGCTAACTTATGAGAACATGGTCTGTCCTTTCTCGTTAAGGCTCATCCTAAGCTGCCAGCAGACCCTCATCTTTCACTTTCCAATGACCTTTCTGATTGCTTTTAAATGATGAAATCAGTAGGCACTTGACCTGTTGTATTTCCCAGTTTTGGTTAGTTTTTGATTATTTGGATTCTAGGCAGTGAACTTTAGAGAACACTTCAGACTTTTTAATAAGACATTTTTGACACCCATATGCTAGACCCAGGGACCTAAAGTTCTATCAAAATAGTGGAGAATAACTATTAGTACATTTTAAAAAGTAGCCTGTTAGGATTGATATATTGGATTAGCCATCCTGACTTGCTTTTAAAGGATAGGTTCACCTTTACAAAAAAAAATAAAATAATGCACTTTTGTTTGCAGGTAAAAACGTTTTTTTTTATTTGTAGAAGCTTGGAAAGCATTGCACCCTCGATCAGCAGATCACGGGTGCAATGTGAGGCTCCTTGAGATTGTCACTGCAAGCTGTCTGCTGATACTTTGTATGTACAGGCAGTTACACAATGACAGGAAGAGTCAATGAATTACCGTTAGCTTTCAATAATGCCCTGGTAGTTCATTGAGAACTACAAGCCGACAGCCACAAAGGCTGTTGGTACTTGTAGTTCATTAATTCATGTCGCTCTTTTCAAATAGTGACAGCGGGTACGGGGAGAAGATTCCCAGCCCATTGTCACAATGAAGGGAGGAATCAGGGAGCAGCTGTAGGAGCAAGAACATGGTAAATGTCCCACCCTAAAAACAGGTGGAACATGTAACATGTTCCCAAAAGTGAAATTATTATAAAGGAACTCTGTTGTCACCCCAAACATTTGGCCAGAACAGCTCCCTGCAAAAGTAAAAACTGTGTGCTTACTTCTCTACAAACCGGTTCTTCCTTCTTTCTCTTCATTGTAAATGCTGCAGCCCCAGTCAACACTTCCTGCAGTTTCTGATACCTGTTGGTGGCTGTAAAGATAAATATCTGTTCTGCACTTAATCTGTACTTCAACTGCTTTGGCCAAGGTTTTGGGGTGATGATGGTTGCTTTAAATATGTAAATTCTGGGTCTGTCATCTTAATCCTGGTTTCATTACTAAACAAGTCACTAAATTTTGAATTGATGCGACATGTGTGCTAGCAACCAGGTGAAGTCCATTATGAGATAATGGGAATATTACTATATTTCTACTACTGTGGAGGATCCTTTTTATTTCTGAAAAATTAAAAACAAATTAAGATACATTCATGCTGTCTTGCAAAGTGTCAGCAATACACAAAGCTTTTGGTGATATCACTAGAATATCTCATAATAATATTATGCATTATGTATATTATTACGGATATTATGCAATAAACATCCATTTGTGTTGTAATTTAGTTAGTTCCAATAAACATATCTATTTTTCCACCATACCATTAATTGTAAAGATAATGTGTTTGGTTATCCGTACTCTGATTTAATTTTCGAGTTACATTCTTTTTCCGCCCCCTCAGATTCACTGCAGAATATATTGCTGCATTATTAATAGAAGATAATAAGTGGTGAAACGGCCTTTCAATGGAGTGAAATTAGTTCCTTATAAATAACGTATTACTTGCAAGAATTAAGACCATTCATCTGAAAAAATAGCAGAGAAATTCTGCAAGTCCAGGACTTTTTATGAAACAATATCCTCTGAAAAGCAGAATCATCATTCTTGGGCTTTTGGGGTCTAAAAAGATGAAAAATGTTACAACCCAATCTTACTTACTCAATAATGCTGTACAAAGAGTTATGGTGTAAGATGTGCAATAACCTGAACAAATCAATTGCTCTCTTAACTGTGCCCTATGCACATTATTATTGCCCTTTGCTTGCTGAACAATCCATACTGGTCTCACTTTTACAAATTCTTGAAATATAAATGGTCTGCACCCAGAAAACAACAATTGGATTCTAGGATAAATGTGTTCAATGCATTCTTCAAACGTGCCATCTATTTGGTTGCTACTGGACAACACGGATCTTTTTGATTATTAGGGCACATCTGAATAAAATCTATTCTTTAAGACCTGTTAAACAGACCCCAAGTCCTTAAAGTGGAACTACACTGCATCTGAGCACCACAAACCAAAAATGCAATTTTGTTTTTTAATCTATTTTATTGATTTTGTTGAGAAACACAAGCAACAGAAAATACAAACAAAAGTTGCCCTCGCAGCGGCAGGGCCATAGGCCCAACAAGTCTAACACATAACTAGCTAAAAGTTCAAAACAACCCCAGAGGAGAGGAGGTGGGGACACATTACAGGACATGCAAGTGAAGAACAAGACCATAGAAAACAAGAGGGAACCCATTTCAAGTCAGTAAAAAAAAAATCACAAGAGTAACAGCTCAGTTCCCTCACCATCTACCATAGTGGCGGTGGAGGTAGCATCAAGCCAGCAAGACCAAATTTTATAAAATTTGCGGAGGCATCCTCCATTAGAATAAATAGTTTGATAAAGGGCAAATTAGAGTTTACTAAGCATTTCCAGTAGGTTATGGCAGGGGAATATGGTTGTTTCCAGCTGAAAGTGATTGTTTTGCGAGCATAAAATAACATGGTATTTAATAGGGTGCGCTTGGCCACAGAGAAAAGCAGAGTTTCCACCAGCCCCAACAAACAATACTTTGGGTCAAAGGGAACTGTAATATGTACTACTTCTTCAATTATATGTAAAACTGCCTGCCAAAATGACACAATAGCAGGACAAGTCCAAAAAATATGAAAGAACTCCCCCATCTTGGTGTGAACAAAGGCAACACGCTGGAGAAAGGGAAGGATTCATTCTGTGCAACCGATGTGGGGTGAAGTAAGCCCTGTGTAGAATTTTAAATTGGATCAATTTATCTCTAGCAGAAACTAGAGGAGAGAAGGGATAATCCCAAATTTCAGACAAGTCATCATCCTCCAGACTAGGGATGTTCGTCCTCCATTTCAGCCATAAGGATGCCAATTCGGGACTGGCCGCCACAAGAAGATATCTGTAGAGTTCTGACATGGGTTTTTTCAAGTGCGATACATGAAGGATAGACTACAGCTCAGAGTAGGAAAGAGTAATCGGTAGACCAGAGAACTGGCCTCTGAAGGCATGGGAAACCTGGAGGTATCTAAAGTAATAATGCTTGGAGAGTTGAAAAGGGAAATAGCTTACCACGACCCATGATGTGCTCCAAGGTTTTTATTTTGTATTTAGCCCAAAGTTGGGGGTTCAGGAATGTAGCAAAATGGGAAAGAGAGGGATTTAACCCTAGTGAAGTATGCGGGGACAAGGAGCTAGGGGGAAGAGATTCCAGTCCAAGCCCAGCCCCCCAGGCCCGAAGAGTGGTACGCATAGATAGTGTGAGACTATAGGGTGATTTTTATCCCCTGAACACTAGCGATTGAAGGGCCTCTAAGGACTGTAAAATCGCCACTTCCAGAACAATAGAGATATCAAAGAGAACTGGCTGCAACCACCAGTGCACCAGTAACAAGTTGAGCAGCAAGGAAGTACTTAAAACAGTCCGGCATAAACCAAACCGTCCGTAGGTCTGGTGAGGGTAGTGAGTTTATATCTGGGAGGTTTGATTCCCCAAAGAAGTGAAAGGAACAATCAGTTCAACTTCACAAAGAATGACTTAGGGAGCCACTGAGGGGAGTTTTGGAAGAGATACGTAAATACGGGGAGTATTTTCATCTACAACAGATTAATGTGACTAATCAGAGAGAGGGGAAAATTACTCCACGCCTTCAGTTTTGACCTGACCTTGGACAGAATTGGGTGGAGATTCAATTCCATAAAATCAGAGGCCGTCCCAGAGACCACAACACCCAAATAAGTGAATTTATTCACCCACTGCAAGGGAGAATTAGGGAATGAGAAAGCCAAGGCTCCAGCATCTACTGGGAATAACAGTGATTTGTGCCAGTTAACCTTCAGATCCGTGAATCTAGAGAATGAATTCATGAGATAAAGAGCTCCCTGAAGGGAAGGCCCGGCACCAGTAAGAAACAATAACAGATCATCTGCATATAAGGCCACCCTCTCCTCCAACCATCCCACCCAGAAGCCAACAATATCAGGGGAGACCCGAAGGGCCTTTGCTATAGGCTCCATCTCCACAGCAAAGAGAGCCGGGGAGAGGGGGCATCTCTGTCTAGCGCCATGTTGTAACCGGAAGGCAGCCGAAAGAAGGCCACCCACCCGTATCTTAGCCAGGGGTCTCAAGTATAGGGTCCTTAACCAATCTATAAAACGCAAGAGAAAACCCATCTGACGCAATACCTCCCATAGGTAAGCCCATTAAATTTTATCGAAGGCCTTCTCCATATCTGATGTGGCTATAGTCCGAGAGCCCCCATTCAGGTGAGTAGTATGCAGGGGCGGACTGACCATTTGGAAACTTGGGCACTGTCCGAGGGCCCGGGGTCAGTAGGGGGCCCCATGAGATGCCCCTGGTACCTTTTTCATAGGCTTTTATGAGGTTGGGCAAGGACACAGGGGCCCCATGATCCCCTATTGCCTGGGGGCCTCATGAGTTGTCAGTCCGCCCCTGGTAGTATGTATATTAGAGAACAAACGGCGGATGTTAATATCGGTAGATCTGCCTGGCATGAAACCCGTCTGATCTGAATTGATAACTGAAGTTAGCACCTTATTCAGCCTAATGGAGAGAAGTTTGGTAAGGATTTTGAAGTCACTGTTGAGAAGCACTATAGGCCTATATGAAGCGCAAAGTTTTGGATCTTTGCCCGATTTATAAAGCAATACAATATGGGCCTCAGATATAGAGGGAGGTAAGGAGCCAGTATGTAGACAGTCTTTATACATGGACATCAATATAGGGGCTGAAAGCTCCACATTGAGAGGCCATCAGGCTACCCTGGGCCTTGCCATTAGGGAAGGAGCCTACAGCCGTGGAGACCTCCTCTGAGGTAGTATCCTAAACCAATAGGGTATATTCAGAGTTGGAAAGCCATCCAAGGGCCAAAAGGGCCAAGCCCGAAGGGTTAAGATCTGATGAAAAAGGAGAAATAGAGGGAGGTGAAATAATTTTTAAACACGTGCAAAATACCCTCCTGGGAAGACCCTACCACCCCATCTGCAGCACAGATTTCCAGGATTATAGTGAGAGGCCTATCGTATTGAGACATCATTGCCAAAACCTACCATTTTTGTCTCCAAATTAGAAAAATTTGTGTCTGCGATCCTGAACATCCAACCTAGTAATTTCTGACATATGTAGATGCAACTCTCAGCGAGCCGAGGAGAGGGAGTCATAATTATCTACAGTAGGAGTAGAGGAATATTGGGCTGATGCCTCTGCTACATTGGACTGTAACTGAGACATGAAGGCAGAGTTTTCCGACTTGATAGCAGAAACGACAGAAATATATATCCCCCTACTATGCACCTTAAAGGCATCCCAAATCATAGCAGGAGAAGCTGACTCAGCATTATGTTCCCAGTAGTCATGCAGACCTGGTGGGATGCGTTCCTCAGAGATGGCATGATGGATCCACTTGGGTTGAAGCCTCCTCCATTAACGGCTGACGAGCGCGAAAGCCAAGGGGACACTGATAGACCCGCTGAAGGTAGCTAGTCTCCTGTGTATCACCAAGAAGAATGGGGTTAGCAAACGCTAGATCAATACGCAAGGCAGTCTTGTGAGATGAGGAAAAACAAGAATAAACCCTATCATGGGGATGAAGCCAGCGCCACACCTCAGACAGGTTAGCAGCCTGTGCCCAGATGGCCAAATCTGAATTAAAGGACGCTAGGGGAACAGGCCTAAGGATTGTGAGAGGGTGGCATTAAAATCTCCCATGAGTAAAATTTAGTCAGGGCAATATGGGGCCAACTTCTCCAGCAACATATATAGAGGGGCCATATGACTGGGTGGTGGCAGGTAAGTATTAACAATAATATATTTATGGTTCCATAGTGATACTACCAACATGACATACTTCCCATTAGGATCAATGGCAACCTCCTCAGCCACACATGGGACTGATTTACTTATCAAGATGGTTACCCCATGAGAATGGATGGAGTAGGTGGCGTGGAACGCCCTCTGCACCCACAGCCTCTTCAAAGCCAGGATTTTGCTGCACAGAAGAGGAGTCTCTTGCAATAGAACTATATGTGGATTATGCAATTTAAAGGTATTGAAATAGGAGTGAACATTTTTACTTAGAATTTAGGCCCCTGACATTCCAGGAGAGGATGGCAAAACAATCTTTATGTATAAATGCCATGATCTCAGAGTCACGGCGGCCATAGCCACCTTAAAACCAGGAAATGAAGCAAAAGGGTTCCCATGAGCAGCAAAATCAGATTAGGCCATTGCATATATAAGTCTAAGCGAAAAGAAAAGCATTGAAGTATGTCTAATACACAAACAACCCCTTTAACCTCACAAAAACAAAAATAAAACCCTGCCCATGCACGATAAAAAAGGAAAAAACACAAAAAACAACCAGTGCAGAGCCTGTACCCTAAACTGGAAAACAAGTGACGGAGTCCATAAGTCCATCCGACAGTCCGTCGTAGGGAAGCTGAGGGTGTGTAGACATGCAAGAGGCTTCCACTCCGAGACCATCATAGCGGATTGACAGGATGACAGAAGGGCCAGGGCAGAAATCTCTTTGCAGGTAAAGGATTCAAGCGCCATAAAAAGAGTTCAGAGACAGGTCCAAGCAAATGTCAGTAGCAGTTGAGCAGAGTACTTACAGCTGACTTAAGGTTTCATGTCTTAACAAGCCTTCAGCCAGGTATCCACAGCAGCAGGAGTATGAAAAAATCGAGCGGTGCCTCCGTCTAGTACCCAGAGTCTGCTCGGCTATAACAAGCTGTATTTCAAGCCACATTCACGTGGACATTTTCAGATCTCCATAAATGAGCGACGGCGTTGTTGCACTTTAGGGGAGTAATCAGGATACAGGGAGATTTTGGCATTTTCAAATAGAAAAGGAGAATTCAGGAGAATTCCATGTGGCCAACAGCAGTGCATCCTGGTCCCAGTAGTTTAGGAGTTTGACTAGAAAAGGTCTCAGGGGAGCCCCAGGTGGCGGTGGAGTAGGAGGGACCCGATGGGCCCACTCCACCACAAACGTGGAGGAAAGATGTTGGAGGCCCAACAGTTTAGGCAGAATCTGCTCCGCAAAGTTTGTGGGTTTTGCGCCTTCGGCCTTTTCTGGAAGGCCTAGTATCCGCAGGTTATTCCAGCACAGCCTATTTTCCATGTCAATAGCTTAATCTTGGAGAGCCTTTACCTGCCTCTGGAGAGCCCTGAGTTCTCTAGAATCCATCTGGACCGTGTCCTCCACCTGGTATATGCGGGATTCTGCATCAGTCAAACTGGCGGATATGGCCTATATCGTTGGATAATGAGTCTATTTTGGAGGTCAGGGCCTCCTTGCAGGAGGTAATAGCCACCAGGCCAGCTGAAGATGGACCAGGATCCCCCATGGTCTCCTGGGATGTCTGCGTGCCCACCGACACTGCTGTGAGATCCGGCCTCGTGACCAAGATGGCCACCAGAGGAGAGGAGCTTGAGGGAACCACCGAGGGTCGGCCTGACTTGTGCTTGCCAGAGGACATGTGGAGAAAGAACAGCGTGCCCACCCGACTCACCGCTGTCAGGAGGATGTCCGCAAGTGGAAGACAGGGAAACCGCTGTCACAGGATCAGAGAGAGGAAGAGCGAGGAGTGGAGCTCAACCGCCACATGCCTCCAAAAATGCAATTAAATTGATTTTTAATATTCAAAGCAAACTCACCAATCCATCTACAGTGCATCCAAAAAGTATTCACACAGCGCTTACCTTTTGCCACATTTTGTTATGTTACAGCCTTATTCCAAAATGTATTAAATTCACTTTTTTCCCCTCAACATTTTACAAACAATACCCCATAATGACAACGTGAAAGAAGTTCGTTTTGAAATCTTTGCAATTTATTAAGAATAAAAAATGAAAAAAAAACACGTACATAAGTATTCACAGCCTTTGCTCAATACTTTGTTGAGGCACCTTTAGCACCAATTACAGCCTCACATCGTTTTCAGTATAATGCTATCAGCTTGGCAAACCTATTTTTGGGCATTTTCTCCCATTTTTCTTTGCAGTACCTCTCAAGCTCCATCAGGTTGGATTGAGAGTGTTGGTGCACAGCCATTTTCAGATCTCTCCAGAATGTTCAATCGGGATCAAGTCTGGGCTCTGGCTGAGCCACTCCAGGAAATTCACAGACTTGGCCCGTAGCCACTCCTTTGTTATGTTGGCTGTGTGCTTAGGGTCGTTGTCCTGTTGAAAGATGAACTGTCGCCTCAGTCTAAAGTCCAGAGCACTCTGGAACAGGTTTGTATCTGTACATTGCTGCATTCATCTTTCCTTCAATCCTACTAGTCTCCCAGTTCCTGCCACTGAAAAACATCCCCACAGCATGATGCTGCCACCACCATGTTTCACTGTAGGGATGGTATTGGCCAGGTGGTGAGCGGTGCCTGGTTTCCTCCAGACATGACGCTTGGCATTCAGGGCAAAGAGTTCAATCTTTGTTTCATCAGACCAGAGGGTTTTGTTTCTCATGTTTCCCTCAGGTGCCTTTTGGCAAACTCCAGGCGGGCTGCTATTTGCCTTTTACTGAGGAGTGGCTTCTGTCTGGCCACTCTACCATACAAGCCTGATTGGTGGAGTGCTGCAGAGATGGTTGTTCTTCTGAAAGGTTCTCCTCTCTCCACAAAGAAATGCTGGAGCTCTTTAAGAGTGACCATCGGGTACTTGGTTACCTCCCTGGCTAAGGCTCTTCTCCCTCGATCACTCATTTTGACCGGGCCACCCGCTCTAGGAAGATTCCTGTTGGTTCCAAACTTCTTCCATTTACGGATGATGGAAGATGCTGTGCTCATTGTGACCTTCAATGCTGCAGTATATTTTCTGTACCCTTCCCCAGATCTGTACCTTGATACAATCCTGTCTCAGAGGTCTACGGACAATTCCTTGCACTTCATGGCTTGGTTTGTGCTCTGACTGTTAACTGTGGGACCGTATATAGACAGGTTTATGCCTTTCCTAATCATGTCCAATCAACTGAATTTCCCACAGGTGGACTCCAATCAAGTTGTAGAAACATCTCAAGGATGATCAGTGGGAACAGGATGCACCAGAGCTCAATTTTGAGTGTCATGGCAAAGGCTTTAAATACTTATGTACATGGGTTTTTTTTTTTTTTTTTTTTTTTTAATAAATTGCAAATATTTCAAAACGAATTTCTTTCACGATGTCATTATGGGGTATTGTTTGTAGAATGTTGAGGAAAAAATGAATTTAATCCATTTTGGAATAAGGCTGTAACATAACAAAA